TGTGTGATATCTTTTTCAGCTATGACAAAACACCGAAATCAATTGAAGCTAAACCCAGATCTTCAAATCATTATATCACAAAGATGCTCCTTCTAGATATTATTTACAGTTAATGAGGTCAAAGGAATTGTTGTAGTCAATAAATAAAATAGTTAACATACTTATTTTCATATTTACCTCATCTTTTAAAATTCCTATTATTGTGAATGTTTTATAGTTTATACAATTAGCTATATGTTTGTAGGGTACAAATAGCTCAAGAATACAATTTATAAATAACTAAATGTACATATATAAGAATGGACACTCATACTGAAAAGAGATCACTAAGCTAGAAAACTATTTCAAAGCAGACATCTATAATAATCCACGATGCCTGCCTAGCCCAGAGTTGGCACTCAATAAATATGTGCTGATGGCTAACATATTTATGAAAAAAATGTTCAACATCACTAATCATTGGAGAAATGCAAATTAAAACAATGAGATATCATTTCACACCTGTCAGAATGGCTGTTATCAAAAAGAAAAGATAGCAAGTGTTGGCAAGGATGTAGAGAAAAGGAAACCCCTGTACACTGTTGGTGGGAATGTAAATTAGTACAGCCATTATGGAAAACTGTATGGACATTCCTTGAAAAGTTTAAAGTAGAATTACCATATGATCCAGCAATCTCACTTCTGGGTACTTACCCAGAAGATTTTAAATCCGTGTGTCAAAAAGACGTCTGCATTCCAATGTTCATTACAGCGCTATTCACAATAACCAAGTTATGAAATCAACCTAAGTGTCCTCAAGCAATGAACGGATAGAGAAAATGTGGCATATATACATAATGGAATACTATTCAGCCTTTAAAACTAAGGGAATTCTACCATTGGCAACAATGTGGATGAATCGAGAACATTATGCTGAGTGAAACAAGCCAGACACAGAAAGACAGATACTGCATGTTTTCCCTTATATGTGGAATCTAAAAGAATCGAACACACAGAAGCAGAAAGTAGAATGCTAGTTTTAGAGGCTGGGGTACGGGGGAATGGAGATATGTTCAAATGGTACAAAGTCTTAGTTAGAAAGGAGGAACAAGTTTGTTGTGCTTTTTTTTGAAATCTATTGCACAGCATGGTGAATATAATTAATAATAATGTATTGTACATTTCAAAATTTCTAAGAGAGTAAACTGCAAATGTTCTCACCACAAAAAAATAAGTAGTGGAGATAATGGATATGTTAGCTTGATTTAAGTATTTCACAATGTATTCATAAGTTATAACATCAATCTGTAAATTGCATCCCGTAATGTATTATATTATATTCATACCCCACAAACATATATAAATTGTCAATTTTCAATAAAATAAAATTTTTTAAATCTGTGTTGAATGAATGAATGAAACACCTTCCACAGCAGCCACAGCTGTAGAAGAACTGACAAACAGATTAATAGCACCAGCTTATGGATGTTTCTACTCAAGCTTTCAGAAAAAACATCTGCCAAGCATCATGTCTCTGTCCATCCAATAAAGGAGACTTCATTATAATCAACTTGCAATCATCTATATCAATATTTAGAAGTAGTGGATAGGGAATCCCCCCATTTAATTCAACTCAGCAGGAAATTATTGAGAGAGTCTCATATTTGACACTCAAATGAAGTAAGTTAATGCAAAATAAGTTATCTGTGGTTTCTGATTTCAAGAAATTTGTGTTTAGCTTTAGAACATGTCTTCAGATTTCCACTTAGAGATGAGTGCAGCCTGATATTCAGAGAATTTAAGACACTTGGTCATGTGATTTTGTTCTTTTCCAGATGTCTACCTTCTTCATCTTAGCCACATACTTGTCTCCTTGCTACCCTGTTTTATGCTGGAATTGGACAGCCTCATGGATCAGAATCTCGTAAAGCAGTAGTCTACATCGCACCGGCCACACTCTTCTTCAAGTTGCAGATCAAGTTGTTCAAGCCTCTACCTCAAAAGACAGTAAGGCAAATGCATTTTTAATAGATCTTCCCTTTCACTTGAGCCTCACTAAAGCTGAAGATAAAACCTCAAAACACTTTGCTTCCATGTCATTTTTCTAGGTTCTGATTTTCAGGGAGAATAAGCCAAAAAGACAATGGTGCTGGTAATCTAAAGAGGGCTAAATCACTGGATGTGCTCTCGTCCTCCAAAATCTGGAAATAAGACACATAGCAGAATAGTGTGGATAATTTTTAAACAATTACTCCAACAAAGATTAACCAATGAAGGCAGTGAGCTCAGAGGACTTTAGAAACTCAGAAAATCACCAGGAAAAGGAGACCCCTTCCAAACTGTAACTCACTCCATGGACTGATCTTGGAGAGGACTAACTGGCTTCTGGAATTTTCATTCCGTGGTGATGTCTGGCCCTATGAGATGGCTTCCTTAGGTCACAGTTCCCGCCTGATGTCACATGCTCCTGGATCCTGATTAATGGATTTTCAGAGCCTGCTGTTGAAATGCCCATGGTAGAACTTATCCCTGAACACTCAGCGTCATGAGAAGTTACTCATGATGGCATGAATAACAGGAAGAGCCATCAAGTTAAAAGATTTCCTTCCTCTCCTCAGCTCCCCACTCTCCTGGACAACAAGCCCACTAGCCACGCGCGTGTTCTGCTTGGGAGAAGTGGACTGCAGGCACAGTGGGGGCTGGTTTTATCTTCTTCTGCAACAGATCAATTTGCAAAGTCAACAAGACTAGTGTTAAGTTCCTTCCTCTAATCACACTGTCTAACATGCGACTGAAAGCTTAGGGGGATTAACTTGATAAGAAATGAAACACTTTGGCACAGAAAAGTCTCTACAAATCTTTATGAAAATGTTTCCATCTTAGCAGAGTAACTTGGGAAGAAACCCAGATGTACTACTACCAAGACATTTGACCTCAAGATAAGAGAAAAAATAGACCATTTATCTTAGCAAATATGTAAAGTACTTTAATTCTTTGCTGGTTTTTGCCAACTTTAACTCCTTTATGGAGGTTGCTTCTGCACCCTCTCAAATAGTACACTGAAAAATCTTGCATAATAGTGTCTTTTCTTATGAAAAACCAGGGCTTTTAATCAAACAGGACTGAAACTGCCGCCCACCTACTTACCATCACTACCAAAAAAGATGTAAATGTATCGTCTCAAATGCTGTCTTGAGCTTTTAAATCTAAAAAATATCTGAATAAAAACAATTCAAGATCTGTGTAGTGGGATTTTAGGCAGACACAGAGAAATCTGGGTCAAAACTAATCCTAAGTAGAAAAAAAAAAATCCAAAACAGGCAACTTTCTCCAGAGTTTTTATTTAAAGTGGGCAAAGAAAGTGTGTCAAAGAAACTGTCATTTCCCAGAAAAGTCCATGACTTCTACGTGGATTCTACCAGCTGAAGTGTCTGCTTAATAGTGACGATGATGCTATTAGCAGATGAATGTGCCAGTTCCCAAGGTACACGTTCACTATCAGGAGCTAAGCATCCCTGCTAACAACTCAGTCTCCTACAAACCTGATGTTTCTTCAGCAAAACAAATTAAAATTAAACCTAACGGTACTTCTGGCTGAGGCTCTAGAAGTCCACAGGAGGGAGGGTGTTTGGGTAGAGGGGACCTTGGCTCCACAGAATGGTGGGTTATGGATGCTTTTAGGACACTAAAGAAACCCACATGGTAAAAGGCCGAGTGCGGTGGCTCATGCCTGTAATCCCAGCACTTTGAGAGACCAAGGTGGGCAGATCACAAGGTCAGGAGTTCGAGACCAGCCTGGCCAACATGGTGAAACTCCATCTCTACTAAAAATACAAAAATTAGCCAGGCATGGTGGCATGCACCTGTAATCCCAGCTATTCAGGAGGCTGAGGCAGGAGAATCACTTGAACCTGGGAGACGGAGGTTGCAGTGAGCCAAGATCATGCCATTGCACTCCAGCCTGGACAATAGAGTGAGACTCCATCTCAAGAAAAAAACAAAAAAAAAAGAAAGAAAGAAAAGAAACGAAACCCACATGGTAGCACTAAGTCTAGGCAAGGACCCATCACCTTTAGGCTTCATGGGGTCTTGGCCTCCACAGCACCAGCAGAGGGCCTAGAGGTGAGACAGAAATGGTCAAACACGTCCTCTGCCCTGTTTACAACAGCCCAACTTCCCTTGCACATATCCTCAAGGAGAGCAGTGGTTTTCACCACTTCAAGCAATGCTTTCCTTCAGTTTATTGTTCTTCTTAATAACCAAGTAATCTGGAGCCAAGTCATTCCTCAGCCTTCCTCCTCCCTGCATCAAACTCAAGCTTCCTCCCACACCCCTCTCTCCAACTAAGACGCAGAGCCTGTTCCCATCCCTCCTCTGTCCCTCTCTTCGTCACTGGCCTGTCCCCACCCACCCTAATGTTCTTTTTTCCCTCCCACCCACTCCCCACCCCTTACTACCCTGAGCCCCAGGCCTTGCGATTTTGCTGCCCAAACTGTAAATCTGGCTGATGCTGAGAAGAGCAAACAAAGGAGCAACTGTGGGAACTGACAGCTCAAGGACTCTGGCATCAGGGTAGGCCCTTGGCTGCCTTTCTCAGGAGGTGCTGTCAGGGCTGATCTTCCTGCTGGCCACCGCATACATCTTAAAATGACAGAGGGTGTGAGTGGCCCTAGAAGTTTCAGCAGACACTGGAGAAAGGGAGCCTTTTCCAAGAAATGAAATGTAACAGAAATGAAAGCCCATGGACCACAGACTTGGCAACATTTGACATAAAACGTTATTGCTAAAATCCCTATAATTACCTCCCAAAATGGGACAGAATCGAAAAAAGAAGGAAGGAAGAAAGAAGAAGCGAGAGAGGAAGGGGAGGGAGGAAGGGAGGGAGGGAAGGAATGGGAGAAGGAAGGAGGGAAGGGAGGGACGGAAGGAGGAAAAGGAAGGAAGGGGTTGGGAAGGAAAGAGGGAGGGAGGGGAAGAAGGGAAGGAGAGAGGGAGAGGAAGAAAGTGAGGGAGGGAGGGGAAGGATGAAGGGAAGGAGAGAGGGAGGAAGTGAGGGAGGGAGGGAGGGGAAGGAAGAAGGGAAGGAAGGTTTACAAGTCTACAATTCTAGCTGTGTGTAGAAAGTGTAGTTATCAAATAACTACGCCAAACAAGCTTGAATTCGGGGCTCAATTCCAGGCTCATTTTCAAATCCCAGTTTCAGGGAACAGGACTCAGGTGGGAGCCACCCCTAAAAGCCTTCCACAGAGAGAGTGTGGTTGAGCGCGTAGGCGTCGCTATCCTCTTCCTCCAAAAGCAGCTTGTCGATGGTCAGTGAGCTGGTGGCTCTCCTGGGATCTTCCATGTCCTGAAGGACTGGCTCTGGGATAGAGATGGGGAGCTGGACAAACTGGGGCCCAGGTAGGGCTGGGGCCGGAGGCTGGTACTGCAGGGTGGAGGTGGGTAGCGTGGAAAGGGGCTGAGGCCACGGGAAATAGGTGAGGGGTGCCTGGTGCTCTGGGCCCTCCAGCGGAGGCCCCACTGCGGGCGTGGCGGAGCTTCTTGTCTGTGACAGGGAAACACGGGACAGAGGGTTAGCAGCCCTGGGAGACCCACCCACCCATCCTTGCCCTTAGAGGGGTCTCCATCTCCCCCTTCAACTCTGCCCTTTCCTGGTTTCTCATTTCATGGGACTCCACCTCCTCCTGCTCAAAGTCTCCCCCAAGGGAGAAGCCAGGCAGACCCCCAAGGAAGAAGCCAGGCAGACTTCAACCGCAGCCCCAACCCTGACCCTTCCTAGCTATATGTCTTTGCTCAGGCCACTTCTTGCTTGGAAGGCTCATTTTTCTCATCTACGAAATAGAATACAAATAGTAATGAACTCATTGGGTTAAGCCAATTAGAGAGGATTTTCCAGGTTTCGTTGAATACAAAATTCATTTCTATTTCAGAGATCTTAAAATGTGAAAAATAAATGCACCTTAAAATCTGTGAAAATACATGTTAAACCATAGCCTGGCAGCTGTATCTGGAAGGTGGCCACTACCCTGCCCAGACACAAAGACAGTCCAGGCTCCACACAACAGCTTTGGAGGTCCCCATGAGCCAACACAGTTCTGTCGCCTCTAGTAATGGCCAGCATGGGGAAGCCTGGCCATCCCCAGCTGGGGGAAGCACTGCTTTGTCAGCAAACTTGGCCTTGCTTCCTGCTGCTGCCTGGTGCCTTCCACATCCTCATCCTCCTCTGTCTCTGAGCTGATCTCCATCGCTGTCCCACCTATGGGCACCCACCATGACCCTCCAAGGGTTAGAATCCTTCTCCTGCCTGCTCTACGAGTCATACCTCTCACCTGCACGGGCGACTTCCCTCACAAACCTCAGGTCAGGCCTGCAACAGAGGCGGGGCCTGGATTCTTACTTCTCTTTCACACTTGAGGAAAGCAGATAGAAGAGGATGCTCTTTGCATGGATTCATGAGAGAGATGCCAAAATCTCTCCCTACCATCCCCGTCTCGCCTGTCACATATTGCTCCTATTGTCACTGTGTCTTGACAGCAAACTGTTAGAATCATTTAGGGCAAGGCTTTTCTTAACCTCCTGCAGATCTTGTTACAATGCAGCTTCTGGCACAAGAAGTCTGGAATTTTGCATATCTAATCAGATCTCAGGGGACTCCAATGTGGCCAGTCCAGGGACCAGAGTTTGAGTAGCAAGATTTTAGGGTGTTTTTGCATAGAATGATAGAGCTGGAAATGGTCTCAGAGGCCTTCCAGCCTTCCAAAATCTGGGCTGAGGTGTAAGCCAGTGGTCCCTATCCCAGTGTCCTGAAACCAGACAGAATCCGGGAAAGCCTCATTATTCCCAGCTTTCAAAAATCCAGATGGAAGTTCTACATTTCCCAGTCATACACCTGTACAAATCTATTGCAACTATAGGTTTATTTGCTGGGGAATAGAATTACATCCACTCAGCACCACAGCAGGTCTTATCTCTGCTGATCAGGAGTGTGGACTTATAGCTCTAGACAGCTTTGATGAGTTAATTCACAAAATGGCAAAACAAATAAATTAATTCTTAATAAATACCGTTTGTTTGATATACAGAACTTTTCAAAGCAAAAGGTGGGGATGATGAAAGGGGATAAACAATGAAAGGAATCCTTGGTAATGAAATGGCTGGAAACCATGAGTCCTCCACCCACCACCCTCTCCCCAGGCTCCCTGACATGGAAATGAGGTGCCTGGGAGAGGGAGTTGGATTAACTCCTTCTTATCTATCATCATCCAGCCTCCAAAATTGGTTTGCTAGGTAGCAGGTGGACCTGAGATGGAAGGGCTCCTGCAGGCCTTTCATAGAAGGTGCTTGGAGGCAGGGGCAGGTGCATCAGGATGACACTGGACCCTGGAGGGAAATGGAGGAGACAAGGTGGACCAAAGCAAGCTCCACCATCGAAGGTGGGCTCTGGGACGGCTGAAGGCCAAGCTCTACTTCTCATGGTTTCCCTGGACTGGAGCTGAATACAGCTGTAACCACAGGTCTTTTTGCCCTTGAACACTTGCAAAATTCCCATTCCTTTAGTCAAATAGGCACCATTAATATAAATCTATTTCCTCTCCTTCCTTCACTCCCGGGGGAAGAGGCTCTTCCTTTCCCATCAGGCCCTTAGTTAATGTTAGCAGATTTTGATATGATGATAATAACTAATATATATTAGTGATTTCTGTATGCCAGACACTGCTAAGCCCTCCACATGCATTATTTCATTTGAACCTGACAATGACCCTTTTCTTGGTATTCCCATTTTACAGATGAAGACACTGAGGTTCAGAGAGTTTTAAGTCACTAAACCCAGAGTCACATAGCTAATAAGTGAAGGGGCAGGGATTTGAACACAGGCAATCTGACAATAGAGACAGAACTTTAAAAAATTACCCCACAAGTGGGTCTGACGCCATCAAAAATATCACCTGTTGTTCAGCCTAGAAATCTTCTGTTAAGTCCCATTATTAAGTGAACGATCACTCCCTAAGTTATCTGAATAGAAAGGAAAGCCTGGTTCCAACACAAGACCCCATGGAGATCTCACATGGTACCCCATTCACTAAAAACTTCAACTCAAAACCAAGACTCACTGCTTGCAGGGAAGCTGGGGAGATTTAGAACAGGGAATCAGAGAAGACCTCCCCAGTCCTGAGGAGCAGAAAGGATGACAAGAGAGGCTGGGAGACATCTTTGTGAAAGATACTTCAGCAAATGAGATTCGGAGCAGGCCTCCATGGAGGACAAGGCAAGCTTTGATGACCTGATTATCCTGAGAATCAATAGCAAGGAAGATCAGGGTCGGGAAGTCAGCTCTGGCTCTAAAAGGGTGCACTCAGCATGGGCGGGTGCAGCTCTGCCTTTGTGTGACGTACCGTGACATTGGTGATGAGTGGCGGAGAGGCATAGGTCAACACTGAGGAGGGCCCCACCACCGTGTAGCTGGGGCACACGGGCTGCACATACATGTCAGCTGAGTAGGGACAGCTGACGGCTTCATGGGGCACATACTCGGTGTAAGGTGTCCATGGGGCCAGGGGCTGGAGGGTGGCCGGAGTGGGCTGGGAGAGCCAGCCGGCACACAGAGCACCCTCCTCCGTCACTGCAGACACAGAGCCTTCCATGTCCAGGCAGGAAGGACCTGTGGGAAGAAGGAAATTTCAGAACTGCAGATGCCACCCAGATGAGAGGCCTGGGGGCCACCAGGGCTACGGGGCACTCTTACCCACTGTGGTGTAGGTCGCCAGGGGCTGATGGGGCAGCACCACCTAGAGGGGAGAGGAGAAGACCAGGGTCAGTGTTTAGCCATTGCCAACTGGCCCTGTGCAGGGAACTTGTCCAGAGGGCCTCAGGGCAGGAGAGTAGAAGGTAGGAAATGCTCTGGTTAGAACAAAACACCCCACCCGGTATCCCAACCATCACCACCTACACTTGAGGGATTTGTGTTTCCATTTAGCAGGAAGTCTGTGTGCTCAGGGAGCTGGTGTCTTCCTCTTCTCAGGGTGAGCCCCCAACTCACATCAGGGTATGTGAGACATTCGCTCACTCAGGCCTTGACAGTAGCTGTGTTCAGTGGGCCAATCCTCTGATCCCTCATCCCAGCTGTTCCACCCTGGCTCTATCCCTGGCAGCCTCCACCATGCGACCTGCACTCCTTCCTGCCTGATCCCCTTGGTCACCTCCCAACCCATCTGCCTGCACACACACGCACACACTCTCACACACGCACACACACACAAACACACACTCTCACACACACTCTCACACACTCTCACATGCACACACTCTCTCACACACTCACACACACACTCTCACACACGCTCACACATACGCTCTCTCACACTCACACGCATACTCTTCTACACACTCTCTCACACACTCCCTCATACACACATACACTCTCACACACGCTGACACACACGCACACACACATTCTCTCTCACACTCACACACACTACTCTGTCACACTCATACACACTGTCACACATACGCACTCACACACTCTCACACACACCCACCCACTCCCTCACACACACATACACTCTCACACTATCTCTAACACACACATTCTGTCTCACACACTCACCCTCTCACACACACACTCTCACCGCCGTGGGTGCAGGCGCTGCCCCGTTGCTGGCGTGGCCTCGCTTCCTCCTCAGCAGTTCCTTCACTGGCTCCTTCACGCGGACGCCCTGGTATGGCCGGGCCGGGGCGGGGGCTTGCTCCGGAGCTGTGGCTGTGAAAAGCAATGTCCCTGGAGCCCATGGTCCTTCTCAGACGAGCCCACACCCCAAAGTGCTCATTTCCTCATGGATCTGTCTGCTCCCCTAAGTTGTGCTTGAACACAGAGAATCACGTGACACTTCCTAGAATGCTTCTCCAGCATTGTCACTCCTCCTACTCCCAAACCTTCTGTAGGCCCCCTGCACCCAGACAACGAAGGCCCATCTTCTTATTCTAGAATTGGGCAGCCTTCAGAATGAGATCCGAACCCATTTTTCTCACCACTTTGCACACTCTCTACTACACAAACCCTGACTCCAACTAGAAGGTCTGTCTGTGTTCTCTACGTGTTCCTGCGTGTCTCACCTCCTCATCTGTGGTTGAGGTTTTCCACGGTCAGAATTCCCTCTCACTTCTTCCAACCTCTTGACTCTTGCTGACCCAACCCAAGTGCAGCCGTCCTGCTTGACCCCTGCAGCCTGAGGAATTTCCACATTCTACAGCCTCTCAAACATTTCCAGATCTGATTAGTATTCATCAGGTGGCAGTAGGGGACAGCGGGAAGGGCAGGGACTCTGAGCCAGATGGCACAGGCCTCAAATCCTGCCCCTGCCACCACCTCGCTGTGTGTTCCTGAGCAAGTTCTAAACGTCTCTGTGCCTCTTAATCTTCAGTTTCTTTGTCAAAGGAATATGGAGAGAAGTCACCTGATGTGGCATATTGGTAGAACAGTATATGCCTCAAATAAACACAGCATAGACATTCAAAAAATTCAGTTATGTAACAGTTATTCTTTGTGATGGAAGTGTCTTATACCCACAACTAGATTATAAACGTCTCAAGGGAGTTCTTGTACCTTATTTCTCCATATCTTCCCAGTGGCATGCCCATCCGTTTTAAGCTCAGTTGATACTTATTGATTAATCGATTGGGTGATTCTTTAAGACATGCTGCCATTTGTCTTCCCTTCATCTCTCCTACACCTTTAGGATGAAGGCAAGTGGCTCCCAGGTTCTTGGTGACTTCCACGGCATGGGACAGTTACCCAAGGGAGATCCATGTGCCCTGGGGCCAGAGAGTATCCACCTGCTGCTGAGGGAAGGTTTCCTTCCCCTCTTGCTGTCAAAGCCAGGAGACCAAAGCATTGACCCAAGTAAGAGTCAGTGCCTAGGGCTCTTCCTGGCCTGGGAGAGCAATTGAAAAGCAGCCGTAGCTGGGAAGCGACAAGCTGTCCACCTAGACAGCCTGTGGCCTAGGGGCCCTGGGCTCTCAGAGAGCAGGCCTGGGTAAGCCAAGAAATACTAGCCCTTAGGACTTCCATAGGGAGCCCATTATTATCCACCGATAAGGGCCCCAGGGACCTGGGCTCTGAATCAAAGTCCCGGAAGCCTAGGTATCTGTTAAACCCGGATCTCCAGCACTGCCCTGGTTGAACTTTGCTCAGTAAATACCCAGCTGATAAGGTCCCATGCCTGACTCGGCACCAGACCTCCCTCCAGGCTCCAGCCTAGAGCGAGGCCTGGCCTTGAAGCCCAGAAGGCAGAGAGAAGCTTGGGCAACAGGAAGTGGGAAGAGGCAACAGGAAGTGGGAAGTGAGCCCCAGAGGCAGATGAAGGGGGTCAGGAATCCCAGTATCTCAGGTGGACTTCAGACCCATCCTCCAAGGTCCCTCAGCTGGCCAGGTAGCAAATCAACCGGGAAATGATGCAATGTGCAGGTACAGGTCCTGCTCCGGGAAGAGTCTGATTCTAGGGGGTTGATATGGGCCTAGGAATCTGTATGCATAAAAATCTTTCTTGGGAGGCTGAGGTGGGTGGATCACAAGGTCGGGAGATTAAGACCATCCTGACCAACATGGTGAAAGCCTGTCTCTACTGAAATACAAAAAATTAGCTGGATGTGGTGGCAGATGCCTGTAATCCCAGTTACTTGGGAGGCTGACACAGGGGAATCGCTTGAACCTGGGAGGTGAGGTTGCAGTGAGCCGAGATCTCACCATTGCACTCCAGCCTGGCAACAGAGTGAGACTCTGTCTCAAAAAAAAAGAAAAAAATCTCTCAGGTAATTTTGAAAATATACTGGGATTACAACCGTTGATAATTCAGTCCTAATTTAACATAAGCATCTCCCGATAACATCCCAATAGCAGTTTCATTATCCTTATTTTAACTTCCCCAGTCTGAACAAGAGATCTCTACTGGTGTTCATTCATTCTTTCAAATATTTCTAGCGCCTAGGAGTACAGCGCTGAGCAGGACCCATGCAGCCCCCGCCCACGCAGATCTTGCAGTCTAATGGGGAAGACAAGCAACAAAAGTTACCAGCAGATGAATGTGTCACAACTTGTGAAATTCAGGGTGCCATGGGAGTGTCTAGCCGGGGAACCAGCCTGGTTCTGTGCCCCGGGGCCACCAGTGCACCTCCACCTTTGCTCTGAACACAAATGACAGTAGACTTGAGAGCCACACCTACCTGTATTCAAATCTGGGCTGTCACTTACTGGTGGAAAGTTCTTAGATTTATTTAATGTCTCTAGGCTTCAATTTCCTCATTTGTAAAACGGGAATAATAATTCTCCTCTCACACAGTGGTTGTGAGGATTAACCGAAATAATACATGGGGAGCTCCAAAGGCCATGTCTGGCATAGGGTAGATGCTCGATACATGTGTTTTTAATTCTCTTCCCTCCGGCCTTTTCCACCTTCTTTTTGGGGAGATATTATGTCAGACAGGTCTTCCTCCTACTGAGGCTAACTTATGGTAACACACGTTGTATTTCCCTCCACTACCTTCTAATGAAACTCACAATTCTTAATCCATTTACCGTTGTCTCATCTATAAAGTGAGGATCATAATGGTATGTATGTTGTAGGGTAATTTAAGAATTGCATGTGAAGTGTTTGGAATAGAGTTTGGCACAGAGCATTTAATACATGTGCGCTCCTATTATCATGAGTATTAGTAGTAATATTCCTTTCCCACATCTGAGGAGAGATACCAGGGGCCCCCCAGGTCTGAAGGGACTTCTCATTCCTCCAGCTATTTCTAAATGACATGGTTTTAGTCCCCCCACCTTCCTTCTGGGTGAGTCACTCTTGCACAAGTTCCATTTGCCACTTTCCCTACTGCTGGGTGGTGCCTGGGGATGACCACAGGCCCCAGGTACGATCTGACTTGTCAGCAAACAGGGCACCTGCCCTCCCACACTCTGCTCACTCTTTCTCAGGCTCACCCCATGGCCACATCAGCATTTTTGGTTTTAATCTTTGTGAGTACATAGTCAGTGTATGTATTTATGGGGTACACGAGATATTTGGATATGGGCATGCAATGCATACTCATCACATCTGGGTAGATAAAGCACCCGTCCCCTCAAGCATTTGTCACTTCTTTGTGTTATAAACAATCCAATTACGCTTTCAGTTATTTTTAAGTGTACCATAAATTATTGTTGACTATAGTCACCCTGTTGTGCTATCAAATACTAGATCATATTCATTCTATCTAACTATATTTTTGTACCCATTAATCATCCCCACTCCCACTCCCACTCCCCCTGCTGCCCTTCCCAGCTTCTGGTAGCCATCATTCCACTGTCTATCTCCATGAGTTCAACTGTGTGAATTTTTAGTTCCCGCATACAAGTGAGAGTATGAGAATTGTGTCTTTCTGTTCCTGGCTTATTCCCTTCACATAACGTCCTCCAGTTCCATCCATGCTGCTGCATATATCAGTTCTGTTCAGTCATATCCTGCAATTCACACTTGTCTTCAGTTGGGTTCCCAGCTATTCCTTAGGCATAAAGTACAGTCTGAGGCATTGTGTACTCGAGAGAAATTTGGGAAATGGGATTACTTGGGGGTCTGAGCACTGTGGTCACCCTCTTAATTCAGCTGAGGGACAAGAAGGGCTCAATCTCATATGCACATGGCTCAGACCATCTCAGAGACAGGTGTATGGCTCAGCCCCCTCTCGTTTGCATGTACACTTCTGAGGAAGGGCTCAGAGACCTGCTGGTCCCAGTCCCTCCCAGAAAGTGGACACATCACACACTTGGCTGGAAGGGGACCAGCTGGGTACTTCCAGGATCTTGTCAAGAGAGGGCTTCCTGCCTCCTACGGTTTCTAAATCAATTAACAAAGAGCGCTTGGCAGAGGTGCTGTGGACAGAGAGTATCACCCTGTAATGTCTGGACTTCCTTGGAATGCAGTGTCAACAGGTGTGCCCTGGCACAACAGACCATATGTGGAGCAATCTCTAAGTCCCCACCTCTTCCTATTGCCGTTGCAGGACTCCCACAGCTCCCAAGGGTCTCCTGACTGCCCGGCATGTGTCCACAGTCAGCTGCCAAGGAAACCTGTAACTGACTCCAACTGAGCAGGTAAGAGGGAGGGTGCTTCTCAGAGTGACTTTGTAAAGTGCTCATGAAATATCAGAATCTGAAGCCTCAAGACGATTCCAAAGGAGCCCACAGCCAAGTGTTTTTGCAAGTTGAAACTTGTAGTTGGTACCTTTCACACCAACCTATGTGCAGCAACAATAAACATTTTTAATTCCACAGTAAACACTGAGCTCCCTACTGCCACCAGCATGAGAACTGAGCCCACAAATACAAATTTGGGAGAGGAAACAAGTGTGTCTAAAATCACGATTGCCTCACCTTGGGGCACCTGGATCCCTGAATTAACTTTAAAACAACTGAATTGTAATACGTAAAAGAAATATTTTTAACTTTTTAAATACATTTCTTAAAATAATAATAATACATCTAAAGAAAATAAACCAGGAGATTGAAACAATAAGATAGAAGCCCAATTTCCCAAAGTCGAGTTCTCCAGAGATTTTAATAACCCCCCAATTAACTTGTAGCTCCAGGTAGCATAACCTCAAAGCCCGAAGCTTTCTCACCATTAATCCTGTGGTCTGAGGGCCTTTTAAGTCTCCTGTGGGTATCCAAGAGTCCATCACGGAGGAAAATCTTTCCACCTTAGCATGAGCCTCTCGGCCCTGATTGGAAATCTCCTTTTTCGGGCTGAGAAGTTCACCATGTTGCCTTTCTATACCACTGGAAGTCAAGCCAATGGAGTTTGAGGGGGGGAATCATCATTTACAGAAAAACCATCAATTTGGCCCCTATAAGGGCTTCCCTTTTCCAAAATGAGCAATGAAACAAAATCTGTAGGTATAAAAAGTCAGCAGAGACTATTTCAGTTCCCCCTGCCACACACCCAGACATGCTCTACATCACAAAAATAAGAGTCCTGCAGCTGCTGTTCTGCTGGAGAGCGCAGAGCATGAAAACTCAAGCAAACTGGTCACCTCAGCCAGCAACCTGGCTGCATGTGGACATTTGCGCCTGCTTTGCACCAAGCTAGGAACATATGGAGTGTCCTGATTTAAATAAATATGGTTCTCCAGTTCCTTGATGAAAGTATAATAAAATATCACCCAGGAAATATGCAAAATTGTCAGCACTTGTTTATTTAATGACACCTTGCAGACCACATTCACACCACAGTGCAGGAGCTACTCATCTAAGGAGGTAAGTCCCTCCTGATGGCTCTGAGCTAAGCAAACACCTAGGGCCTGGTCAATGGTAACTTCTCTTCTGGGGTAACTTTAAGACAGCCCATGTCAGAAGCCAGTCATTCTCTAAAACAGCCTCCAAGGCACCCTTGAGAGAAGGCCCTTCTCCCAGCCATTGTCCTCTTGTGACATCCCATGAGCTGCCAGGGCCAGGCGCTGGAGTGGACAACAGTTAAGACAGTTGCTCTAATGGTGAGGGGGGCTGCAGGATAAGCATGCATTTCCGTCCCACCATCTCACCTACTGAGAGTACCCTCCATTCACAACTGACTGGTTGAAACTTGAATCGGCAAGGCAGCACCACAGTGAGGGATGGAGCAGAGGAGAGGAATGTATCTTTCCTTATTAGATCAAGGCTTGAATCTGGAACTGCCCATCTGATCTAGGATAGGAATAACATGGGAATAATCTGTAGTTAGGCAGCTGGAGGAGGCAGCTGAATATCCAGTTGTTTGTTCCTTGATTTAAGCATTATCTAATTTGGGCTTTTCAAGACCAAAGAGAGCCTTATGAAAAAAATAACTTTTCCTGAGACCATCATGTAAGGACCACTTTCTTGGAGGATGGACTCTTCAGACCCCAGCATTAGTTTTGTATTTGGAGTCAGACCCAACTGCCCGAGTTCCAAGGCTCATGGTAGCCTGGGGTGCAGCCTACATGAGTGAGAGTAGCCCTAACAATGGATTCATGAGAGACATCACGGACAGTCAAGAGGAGCTTTCTGGATAATTCTCACCTTTACTAACCAGTGGCCCTCATGATACAAGGGATTCCTTTATGAAGGACATTGGAGAAAGGGAGTGGTTGTTAGTATCAAGCCTGAAAAAGAAGTCACTTGGTCAATTTTTTAGGAACTTACCTAAAAAACAGGTAAACCTTGTAGCCACACAAGGCCATTTTGAAAGATAAAAACTCCTAGCCCAGAAGGACATGTGACACACTGTTAATAGTGACACACTATTGATCACTCTAAGTAACCACCGGAAATATCTTATGCTATTGAATCTTCAGTGTTTGTTTGTTTTTCTTTTTCTTAAAAAAAAAGAAAAAGAAAAGACCCACTGAGAAGAAATATAATTTTCTCTTTATTTGTAGCAAAACTAATTGAACAACAGGAATTCAAGACTATTGCCAATAAACTTGCCCTGGCTTCTAACTGAAAATCAAGTCACAATAGTTGCTGGCACCTGTCACTTTCATATAAAGAATTCTTTACATTTCATAGAAGAATTAGCTGGGTGCTGTGGCAGGAGCCTGTAATCTCAGCTACTCGGGAGGCTGAGGCAGAAGAATCACTTGAACCCAGGAGGCAGAGGTTGCAGTGAGCCGAGATCGCACCATTGCAGCCTGGGCGACAGAAGCGAAACTCTGTCTCAAAAAAAAAAAAAAAAGAGTTGTTTACATTTTCATGTAAAGAATTTTGTTTGTGCTTGTGGTCCAAGGACTTCTAGAGAACATTAACTCCAGTTGGCTAAAGGATTATTCACATCTTTAACTGAAACACTAATGTGGATGCTTTTCTTACGGTAACGGTCTGAGTCAGTTTTCAAATTTGTTCTTTCCATTCATGGACAATGGCTGATATTTTTCCAAACAGGAAGAAAGAAGTTGGGTTTTGGTCAAAGGTTGAACTTGACACACTACAGAAAGGCTTTCCCGCTCATTTACACTACATTGTGGTTTACCTTTTGTTGTTGTTGTTTTTTAATGTAGGCCAACAAAGAAATCCCATATGCATGTAAACGCAGGCTTTCCATTCACTAACATTTGAGCTGAGAGGACCCTGCAGCCAGGAAATACAAACACGTCACTCATATATCCTGCAATCTGGATGATACCCAGGACAGAGGAGAAAAAGACAGCAGGGGGGAAATGGTGGCTTTAAAGGTGACTGGAAGACATGAGAGAGAGGGGAACCACGACTGAGGTACAATTTGATGTTGCCTGCAAGGCTGCTGGACAGCCGGGGAATAAGTTGTAATGTCTTGCTTGGTAGGCTGGAATGCCTTTATCAGATCACAAAGATGGTGGCTGACCTCACATTCTCTGGTATGGGTGGAGAAGATAAAGGAACAGACGGTGACATGTGCCCTCCCTGAGTCCCCCATTCTAAAAGACTATCCCTTCCCATCAGCCCCAAAGAGCTTACTCATTAACCATAGGAAGGTCCCCTGGGAAAGGCTGAACCAGGGGCCACGGTCATTGAGAATTTCCCCAGACCTAGGCAAGCCACCAGGACCTAGAAAGAGCAGCCCTGACAATGGGACCCAGGGGACACTCTTAAGGTATGTTGGGGGTGACAGCAGAGGGTTGTTCAGTCTTAGAGTCGCAGAGCCCCAGACCAAAGTGGTCTAGGGGCCGAGTGATTCCTACTTAACGGACGTCATAGCCAGCAGGGAATGGACCCCCAGGGCAATCACACAGAGATCCCTCTAGGTTGTGTTAGGTTGAAGTCAAGAGCCCACTGACCCACAGAAGACCACCCATCTCCACCAAGCTCAGACCTGAGCATTTACACCCTGAGGCCTCAGGATTACCTGGATTGTCCTTAAACTTCTGGGTGTCCCACCCCACAACCGCAGGTGGGGGCAGCCAAAGGTCTCAAGTGCAAGAGGTTTCCACGTGGCAGCGGCCCTCTAACCCTTCCCTCACCGGCACTACTCCCAGGGATCCTTTCCCCGGCACTCTCCATACCTTCCACACCACATCTCCCTTCCTCTGAGCCTCCTGCAGATCAGGTCAAGCACAAAAGGCTGTTTGTACCCATTCTCTGTTCCCAGGGACTCAGGTCTGTTGAATGAATGGGTGGCAAAGGTCCATGTGTTTCCTGGTCACATTCTTAACTCTCCGGAACTCTGAAATCACCACACTCCTATTTGCATGATGTTCCATAGAGATTTTGATGCTAATGATTGCAGATGGGGCCTCACTACAACGTATTCCTCTTCCCCTCCCTTTCTTTACCGAGAAGGAAAGAGATGCTCAGAGATGTTCAGTGACTTGCCCGAGGACTACACTTATAAATAACAGTGTCCTCAACCAAGCCCAGGACCTGTGATTCCAAGTGCAGTCCACTTCCGCCTCACCGCCTGCCTCGTCCCTGCCCGGGCAAGTCCCGTTTATTTCTCTGAGTGACACTGCAGGTCAATCATCAAATGATTGCTGGCCCCGTCCTAACCCTCCTTGCTCCAGTTAAAGTCTGGACTTGGACTACCCTAATCCAGTCTCCCTCAATTGCCAATTTCCCCAAGAAATGCTATTGCCCAGCCAAGAGAGGAAGGATCAGTCCACGAGAACCTTGTCAGCAGCCTTCTCACATGAGGAGTGACGAGAACTGAGAGACCCAAACAATTCCCCGCAAGGTTTTATTTTTGGTATTTTTCGACTGAAATGACAGCGGACAGGTCCACCTGAGAAAGCAGCTGCATCTGCCTGCCTTTTACAGAAACTGGGGTCACCAGAGCAGAAAGGGTTCCCATCGCAGATACACTGTGTCCCAGGGTAGGGGACAAGACCAAGAGACCCCTGGCAGAGCATTCACTGAGCAAGTACTTGCTGAGCAGAACAGATGAGGTTCTTGCCCTCTTGGAGCTTACAATCTAGCCTAGTGGGGTACACAGACTTTAATCAAATAATTGCACAAACAAATTTAGAATTACAAACTGTGACAGAGTTGCATCTGCCTCAGAACTGAAGTGGTTCTGTCTTGTTTGGATAGTTTCCACCTACACCTGGTTTAGTAAGGCTTGAACAAGCAGCAAATTGGGGCCCCAAGTCTGTAGAGACTGTATAGAGGAGAGTGCAAGAGATATGACTGTTCTGTCTCCAGTGCAGAGGGGCTGGTCTGGGGCCAGAGGCTCAGGCCACACCATGAGCAGACCCTTGTCCCAGACACTCTAAGTGACAGGTCCTGAGCGAATCCTAAGGGTGTGTCACTAGCTGGTCCTATCCTATCTTGGCTGATTGGCCCACCAAGAGAAAAGGAGTCCAGGGAACTGAGATTCTAAAATGGAAATCAGCAGGTTTCAGAGCTTCCATGCTGAGTCTCGAGCGTGACTTGCTAAGATTCAACTTTGCAGAGGCTTTTTGTGCCAGGCTAGAGCTACCCTTGATGAAGTCATAACCTGCTTCCATCTAATTGAGGGCACTCTTCAACCAGGAGGAGAAGAAGGACGCAGTGCAACACTAAAATCCTTGTCATTGAGAAGCAGTGTGGTATAGTTTGGGACTAGACCTAGTTTAGAGAGTCTGCTATGAAGACTATACTTTCAGGGATCATTTCTATAGTTTGTTTAGAAAGTCTGCTATGTTGTTTATCACCAGTGTGACTCTTGGCAAATCACTTAACCAGTATGTGCCTCAGTTTCCCCATCTGCAAAATGAAAGTAATAATATCCGTCTCAAAGGGTTATCACGAGAACTGTAGGAGATTAACACAATGAAACACCTAGTGCATAATGTGCTCCCAACAAACAGCCTTTTCTCCTTTGATCTCAGCCAACAATCCATGGCCCATCTGTCATCGGAGAAGTAGCCTTGGCACAGTGACCTAACTTGCCCCCATTCAGCTACATCCTGATACTGAATGTCTCTGTCTTCAGCATACCCAGGGCCTTCTGCTGCCTGCAAGGCGTGTCTCTACCTGCCTTCACTATGCTCCTGGAATTCATCTCTCAGGTACCTGGAATCCCCAGGCAGCAAGATACCCCCACTTAGGAGACAGGGAGGCCAATGATGCTGCAGAGGGGCTGGTCAAAGACCTCACTTTCATACAGCAATCCTAGACAGGAGATGCCAAACCCTGGAAATGGCCTTTTATAAAAAATACCATGAGCTGAGCAGAAGACTTCTTTCTTCAGCAGTCACCAGAAGATTAGGTTTGCAGATTTGAGTTTTAAAAGGATGACTAGAAATGAAAACCTTGGATATTTGTGAATGGCAGTGAGTAGGCTGCAGACAGAATATGATGACATTCCCTTGTCCTGACCTCAGATGCAGCCCTTTAAGGAACCTATACGTATCGCCTAAAGGCCAGGGACACAGCCATGGCTGAGGCTGTGTTGTAGATACTCTTTCAAGGGGGCTAGAAAACTAGGAGCACATGTCGCATATGGAATAGAAATGCAGCAACGGGCAAGGGAGGGCTCTTCAGTGCCCATAGATGGGAGTTTAATCACCTTGTAGAGCAAAGCAGATTCCTGGATTACATATTTGGCATTGCCTCAGCTCTGCTGAGAGTGGGGCATCAGAAGGAGAGAGAAAGGGCCTAAACAGAGCTCCAGACCTACCGTCCCAGATCAGAAGGTGAATGAGGAGAGTCCACCTACCCCAGTGGCCACCCCAACTCTATAACAAGGCAGCACCCCAGTGAGGGATGGAGCAAAGGAAAGGGCTGGCTCTTTCCTTATTAGATCAAGGCTTGAATCTAGAATTGCCCTCCAAGCTAGGATGGGAATAACCTGTGGTTAGGCAGCTGGAGGAGGCAGATGGATATCCGATTTTTTGTTCCTTGATTCAAACAATATCTAATTTTGGCTTTTCCAGACCAAAGAGAGCTTTATTGAAAAAAATTAACTTTTCCTGAGACCATCACGTAAGGACCACTTCCTTGGAGGATGGACTCTTCAGACCCCAGCATTAGTTTTGTATTTGGAGTCAGACCCAACTGCCCAAGCTCCAAGGCTCATGGTGGCTTGGGGTGCAGCCTATGTGAGTGAGAGTAGCCCTAACAATGGATTCATGAGAGACAACACGGCCAGTCAAGAGGAGCTTTCTGGATAATGTTCAGCTTTACCAGCCAACGGCTCTCATGATGCAAGGGATTCCTTTAGGATGGACATAGGAGAAGGGGAGTGGTTGTTAGTATCAAGCCTGAGAAAGAAGTCATTTGGTCAGTTTTTTAGGAATTTACCCCCTCCTTATTCACAAGAGACCCACAAAGACTGAACACATAGTTTTCACAGCTTCAAAGTTTGATGAAGACCAATGCAACATGTTTCACAGCCACTCACTGCCACTCTCTGTAACCAGCTAGCAGGGATCTTGCTAAAAAGAGGGGTAGATTGGCCAGGTCAGGGGGATCCAGCTGTGATCTGAAGAACCCTGGAATATAGTTGTGGTGCGTGCAGATACCAACAGAGTGAGAATGGCAGGGAAATGTGAGGGAACATGAGCAATCGGAGCTCCAGATATTCCCCCAAAACTGCACCATTTTTATTCTTATACTGAAGTTCTACACTAGATTTGAATAAGGGAGTTTGTAACAAAAATGTTACAGATATCAGCCTAGATATCTTTGGATTTTCTTCCCAGTGCTAATATTTTATGTCCTAAGATACATCTGCACACCCCAGGATCTACGCCAGAAGTCTGATTCTATTCTTCAGGATCCAAACCCATTCTATATGTTCCATGACATCTTCCCTGATTCCATCGTCCCCACATTCTGCTGAAGATCATTTATTTCATTGGTTGGTTTCTCTAGCTGGAAATAATTCCATTATTGGATGGATGCCTAGAGGGATGCATACCTGCATGGGATGATGAAGAGATGGTTGATTTTCCTTCTGTTCCTTTCCTTCCTGAATTGGTGTGCCTTTCGTCTAACATTAAGACTTGCTCCTATTGTCAAATTTCTTGCCTCTCTTCTTTCCTTTCCTTTCTGTCACCTCAGCATTTCCTAGTCCTGGAAAGTTTTAATAATGTCCTGTATGCTTGCTCTCTTCCAGTGAAACGTATGGCTCTTTTTAGTGGATTAAAAAGTAATTCAATTTAAGACTGGTCAAATCCTTTTTTGTCCCAGCACCTGGTCTGAGAATGATTCTGGTTTATAATTTTTTGGTGACCAGCTCTTCCCAGAAAGTGGTACTAATGAAACTGTTACTAAGAAAAGGAGGCCACACATTGTTGTTTCAGTTTTCGGTATCTATTTCTTGCATATTTCAAGTGTCATTCTGCTCACAACTAGATTACAAACACTCAGTCCAATCTTGTGAATTAAAAAAACAAACACAAGTTTGCCAGTCAGTACAAGCCTTGCCGCCACCCTACCTTACAAGGTCGGTGGGAAAATTGTGACCCGAGTTCCAAGTTTGATCACAGAATGGTCAGATTAATCATCAGAAGTAACCCTGATCACTAACCCACTACAAGTTGTAAGACTGGAGATATGTGGCCTGCCATTTCACAAGAAATGCAGAACTCAGAAGGCATACAAATTGTAATCTAAAATTAGCCGGCATAACCTTTGTCTTCAGAGGTAGATTGTGACAGAATGGGAAAATAATAACAGCAACTAATATTTATTGAGTGTTTACTTAATGCCAAGCACAGCAGAAAACCCCTACCATAATCCCGTAAAGTAAGAGTCACACCCCTGGTGCATACTTATAAAGAAATGGTGGCAGAAGGAGGAAAGCGTCACACAACCAGAAAGGCATAAACCTAGGACTCAACCTCAGATCCACCTGCCCCAGAAGCTAAACTGTAACTACTAAAGGCAAAGAAAGAACAGAAGTGTCACTCTCTAACTCAAAGTTAAACCCTACTCTCGACACCTTACTCTCCATACCCCACCTAAACATACACACACACACACAGACACGCAGATATGAAGGAGCAGTCTGAGTTTTCCAAAGTCTAGAAAGTTCAGAGTGAAGGAAGTGCCAAGGAGGCAGAAGCCTTGGCTCCCAGCAAAGGCTGCCTGCCACATCGGGCTCTCTACTAAAACTGCCCAGAAAACAGTAGGGCTGGGTTATTTGGGGGCAAACTCTAGGTCCTTCTCTGAACCTTTTAATGTAGCTAAAATGTCTTCAAAGAGTCCCCCAGAGGAGGCACAGCAGCAAGCAGAGCCTTGTTTTCTTCAACAAGTAAGCTGAAGTAAATGTTAAACAATCAAAATGAGTTCTCATGGTATGAACTACCGTCTGCAGGCCTCATTTTGCCATTGGTCCCTTATCTGACATGGAAGGCCTGTGCTTTTACCAGGAGTACCTCCTAAGCACTGTGAGAGAGACAGGCACTGTGGCAGGCAGACAGGACAGCTTAGCAGGCCAACACTTGAGGTCTGTTCAGATGAATTTTGCTTTGTGGGAGAGTTACTAACTTAATCTTCATGATTCAGTTTCCTCATCTATAACACGGACCTTACAATAGAATCTGCTTCATGGAGTTTTCATGAGGATTAAATGAGATAATGCACTCAACGCATAGTGAAGACTGGCAGTTGTTACACTCAACATCCGCCTTCCCTTCCTTTCTAACAACCCCTGCATTATGGAGGGTGGCAAGGTGCCCAGTTAAACAATTATGCTGTTCTCCCTTGTGGGCAGAAATGGCATCAGATGTCAGCAGAAGTTGCGTGTTGGGCAGGGAGAAGGGGCAGCGATTGGGAGGCATGATCTTTTGCTGTTCCCTTTTCTTCTTCTTTCTTGTCCAAAGATGTGATGATCACCGATGTGATGGTTGGAGTTACAATGGCAACTGTGAAAAAAACCTTGAGGACAAGAGCCACATGCCAGGGACAGCAGATTAGAAAGACAGGAGTGTGGGATGATGTTGGCACCGTGAGACTCCATACGATCCTGAACACCGTACTGTGGACTTCTTTTATGTGAGAGAAAGGACACCACTGTCTTACTTAAATCTATGTTATTTCAGGTCTCTTCACCAGCAATCAAATGTAATCCAGACTGATCTAACAGAACATTTTGTATACTGCATAGCACCAAATAAGTTCTCCATCCCCCAAAGATGTTTATCACTGATAAACGTATTGAGCATTCTTCTGCTCTTAGTAATGCCCAAAGGTTTATTAGAAGCCATGCATTTCAACCTCCAGGTCAGCAGTTCTCAGCCTTCCCCCCTGGGAGGCATTTGCAGCTCCCCTCCGATGCCCAGGGCAATTTAATCAGAAGCTCTAGGTTGAGATCCAGGCATCTGTGTTTCTTAAATCTCCTCAGAGAATTCCAGTGTGTGGCCAAGGTGGAAAAACGCTACCTAAGCAGACATAAGAATCCCATCTATCAAATTAAGGACTTCTGATTTAAAATGTGTATTTATTTTTTATATAAACACTCAGGAAAACTCTGCAATTAGAGCTGGAAAAGAACCTCAATCAAGTTCAATCTCTAGGAAAATTAGCCAGGAAAAGGCAAGTCCATTCCAACACTAGAAGATCTGAGACCCCAAGTGGTTAGGTGGCTTGCTTAAGGTCTCCCACCTAATTATCTTTAGAATGGAAAGTAGAACCCTGGCTCCTGCCTTCAAGGACAGTGCTTTGTCCCCAGCATCACACAAGCAGGACAAGAGTGTTTCAGAGAAGGCCTCCCCATCCCAGGTAGGCTCACTTTTGTCAAGCAGTTCTACAAAAACGAGAAAACTAGAGTGTTACTAAGCATTTCGTAAAGGTGAGAATTATGTTAATGTTCATAATCAGTTAGCCAACTTTGGTTTGGTTGGCTCAGAATAAGAAATTGGTGAACATCTTCATTAAGAGGGAAAATAAACTACTTTAGAAAGATATCAAAGGGGGAAAAAACACTTACTTTGTAATGGGAAAGTTAAAAGCAAACATTTACAAGACTTCTTTATGAATTAAATGTCCACACATTTAATGAACAAGTGTAGGCAAACTTGATTTTTTTTTTTTTTTTTTTTTTTTTGGTTCCTCATGAAAGAACGGAATCTCAAGTGTGAATTGGAAGAGAGCTTTCAAAACTTCTGAGTCAGTAACTTTGAGGACAAATCTGGCATTTTCTTTAGTAAATAAATGTAAGGGGCAGTAAGTAAAATATCCATCAAGAGCATCATCTGCTCTTTTACCAATTAAATCTGCGTGTTTTGTTGACGTTTGTCCTTTATTTCACCTCCAGAAGGTGCATGTGAATTTGTGTCTCTCTTTTGCATTCTACTTGCCCTTAACAGCAAGAACTGATTAATTGGCCAGGTGTGGTGGTTCACGCCTGTAATCCCAGCACTTTGGGAGGCCAAGACAGGTGGATCATTCGAGGTCAGGAGTTCGAGACCAGCCTGGCCAACATGGTGAAACCCCATCTCCAATAAAAATGCAAAATTAGCCAGGCATTGTGGCATGTGCCTGTAATCTCAGCTACACAGGAGGCTGAGGCAGGAGAATCACTTGAATTCGGAGGCAGAGGTTGCAGTGAGCTGATATTGCACCACTGCACTCCAGCCTGGGCGACAGAGCAAGACTCCATCTCAAAAAAAGAACTGCTGAATCAATGGAATCAACTTGGTAAGAAGTAAAGGTGCTCACTAGGCTTATTAAATAAGCAAAGGTTGTAACATACAATAGAAATATTAGAGGTTGTCCAGAAACCTAAATTCCTTCTCATTATATCTTGTGCTTAAATTTATGTGGGAGATAGGCTTCCAAAAATTGTATGCATAATACACATTTTACTTATCTTTAACTGCCTCCCAAAAAATGCTGGCTCTTTAGTGGAACCCTAGAGTAAATCTGGAGAGCAGAGTTCTATGTTGATGAGAATTTTAAGGCCTTAATTTTTCTGTTTCCTAAATCTCTGCTCTGTTCAAGTTGTCTGAAAGCAAAGGCATATCCATGACATAATAATTGGATACGATTTATTTCCTGTTTCAAGGTCAAGTCTACAGGACACCAAGACAATGAGCCAGTCCAAAGAAAATCAGTCAAGCCTGCCTTTGATTAGCATGTAGATTATTCCCTAATACAAACAACAACAATAAAAAGCAACTGTTGAATTTGTTCACTTTCTAACAAATGGAGTTCAGTTTATTATACACAGTCCTATCACTTTTAAGGAAGAAATTCAATTAAATCAATTTGGGGCATTGTCCAAATTATTTAATGAATTGGCTGCAAGTTTTATTTCCATTGGTGTTGGCATTGTACAACTCCAGGATACTGAGTATCTTAAGGAAATGAATGCCTGAAGAACCAAGCAAATCATCTGAGACCAGAGGTTGGCAATGTTTTTCTATAATAAGCCAGAGAGTAAATATTTTAGGCTTTGTATGCTGCACAGTCTCTATCACAACTACACAACTCTGCCGTGTAGCAAAAGCAGCCCTAGACAATATTCAAATGATAAACATAGCTGTGTTCCAGTAAAACTTTATTTACAAATGGGGTGATAGGCCTGATTTGGCACAGAGGCCATAGTTTGCAGACCCCTATTTTAGATCCTTGGAAAACTTTGCAATATCCTATCACCCAAGAATATTTAGACTGTGGCTTTTTTATTTTTATTTTATTTTATTTTATTTTTTGGAGACGGAGTCTCACTCCGTCTCCCAGGCTGGAGTGCAGTGGCGCCATCTCGGCTCACTGCAAGCTCCACCTCCCGGGTTCAAGTCATTCTCCTGCCTCAGCCTCCCGAGTAGCTGGAACTACAGGCGCCCATAGACTGTGGCTTTTTAACTATTCTAATCAAAGTGTGGAAAAGGTTATACGAATTTAACATAACACTGATCACTCAAGATGGGCCCACAGGAGGTTTCCAGGACGGAAGGTACTAACTCACCACTATCACTACTTAGCAGGAAACTTGCTATCATTTTACCTACATTCTCTACTTTAATTCTCACAAAAACCTTGGGAGGCAGAATTAGAATTCCCGCTTCCCAGATGAGGAAATGAATGGAAATTTCCTTCTCACAAAAAAGAACTAAGTTGCACAGTCAACTTTCAAACCCAGACCGGTCTCCCTCCAAGGTTCCTGCTATTTCCACTACTAGCTGGGGAGGGATAGTAATGCTTCACATCTACACCTGACCAGCAGGTCCAAGTTCAGAACCCAGGGAGAGAATCTACAGATGGAGTGACTTCTTCATCCAGTTGGCCCATCAAGCAAATCTCACACCCATTGGTTGGGGCTTGAAGATTTCTACTTCTCTGTGCCAGCAGGTCTGGGCTTTGTCACGTTATGCTCTAATCTTAACCAAAAGCCAGGGTTCACATTTAGTCCACAAACTAGGGTCATGGGCTAGGTAGGGAGGAGGTAACATTCACAAAGTGAATGTTTTCTTAACCCTTTCCAGAACCCCATAGTACAGTCATTTCAGCTCATGCCTCGAGGGTGTTTTCTGAAAAAAGAAAGTGCCCTTTCAGCACTCTTGGTGTCTGATTTCAAACCCTGCCCTTCCACCGGGTGATTCTAAGTGGGCTGACATGCTGCCCTGTTTTTACTGATTTTCCCACAGGGTTTAGTCACCCAGGTGCCCTCTATACCACATACTTGGGTTCGGGCTAAGGGGGTGGGTCCAGAGCCCAGGGTCTCTCCTACTTTTCCTTTAAGGCTTAAAAGACAATTCAAGATAATTTTGATTCGTGTTCATCTGAACATGGGGAAACATTCACCCCAGTTATTCCATTGATGAGCTTACAATGTGGTCTCCCTTACAATGGAGTTTTGCTGTATCTGACTGGTCTCCAGAGTGTGAGCAGGAAGCATGCCCTCCAGCATCCCCTTTAAAAAAATTGGGGGATAGGCACGGTGACTCACACCTGTGATCCCAGCACTCGCCGAAGCGAGTGGATCACTTGAGTCCAGCCTGGACAACATACTAAAACACCATCTCTACTAAAAATACAAAAAAATTGCCTGGGTGTGGTGGCAGACACCTGTAGTCCCAGTTACTAGGGAGGCTGAGGGGAGAGAATCACTTGAACCCAGGAGGCAGAGGTTGCAGTGAGCCGAGATCGCACCACTGCACTCCAACCTGGGCAACAGAGCAAGACTCTGTCTCAAAAAAAAAAAAAAACAAAACAACACAAAGAAAAAGTCTGTTCATCTCTTAGAAGGAATTAGAAACGAAAAAATGTAGTACGGAACCAAGAGGGGAGAATATGGCAGATTGTGAATGCAGGGAAGCAACTCATATCTCAGAGGCTGAGAGGCTGATGCAGACAGAGCAATGAACATGACTTCAGTGGCACCTCACTTACTAAGGGTAGGTCCTCAGAGTGGGTATGATTTTTACCCCTACTTCACATACGAAAAATCTAAGGATTGAGAAAAAGGAAAGTGACTTGCTCATAGAAGGCAGGAGCTGAGGCAAAACTCCCTCCAGGGGCTCACACAAAAATCAAATGATGCAGCCCTAAGTGTAAAGACACACAGATGCTTAGGAGCCCCCAGTAAAGAGATGAATGCCCACCTGCTCTCATCCACAGAGCATTCACAACAGGGTCAGCTGCCATGGTCCCATGAAGGATAGGCTGCCGCTGCCCCATCGCCTGTTGGTAAGAGTTGCATGCCAACCATTCTTGAATATTCCTAGTTATCTGGGAAGGAGTCCATAACTCTCAAACCCAAATTAAAGTTCATTTCCCTTTATTTTTTAAAAAATGGATCTTACTGATACCAAACAATGGTGGGTCTTCACAATCTGAGAAATTTTGAAATCACTCTTCTGTGTTACTTGTTAATCAGCTTAATTCCAGAGAAATTTACATAAGATATAAAGCAAAGAGAGTAAATTGGTGATAAGGTGACAGTGTAACATTTTAATCAATGAAGTTATATTTTCAGAACTTTAATGGATCCATTTGAGTATCTTTCCATAAAATAAACATACTCCCTAATTTATCTTTTTCTGTAAATCTAGATTCTCTTATATTAAGTTTGCTTGAGGCACGACGTACTTAAGTTAATTAAAAGCCATTTTAAGGAACTAAGAATCTTTAAGAGAAAGAGCAATTTTTTGCCATTCTTCTTGCTTGAGGAAGTATAGAACTAACCCCCAATAAGGTTCAACTCTCAGAGCTGATGAGTTGACTTCATTTACCTCATGAAAAGAATGTTGTAAATAATCTGTATTATTTCAGTTATTAGTAAGGTAAGTCACTGTTTGGTCCACATAAAGAAAAATAAAGTTCACAGTTGTTCCATCCAACTCCAGGGATAAAAATCAAGGCCAAAGATAAACCCACTGCTCCCTTTGCAGTGGGATAGACAAGCCTTGTCACAGAGGGGGAAAAAGAATGACGAAAGGCAAGACAGTGGAGCGAGTGAGGACACGCTTCACCAAGCCAGGTCTCCACTCCTCCCAGGGTATCCACAGGAACAAGTCACGCCCTGGCAGAAAGCTAAGTCACTCAGCTAGAAACAGGCCCAGGGAATTCAACAGCAGGCTGAAGAGCCACTACTTATGGAAATAAAGCCCCTCCTGTAAAGAACTGCATGGCTTTTCCCTCCAAACACCAAACCCATCCCACATCTGGCTTTTGTTGTGTGAATCATAAATTGCCCTTTCTTCACCACAGTGATTCATGCACAGAAGCGGAGGTACCCCGAGCCGTCCCACCTTGGAACACTAGTTCGTTCCCCTCCAGCCTGGAAAATCAGCATCACCTCTGACAGGCTAGTTTCTCCACCAGGCTCCATCCCGCCCACCTCCCCGCTCCCCACTCCCGGGCTTGGAACCTAGACCCCCTCCCCTCTCCCCCGTGACCCCATCTCCTCCACCGCCAGCTCCCCAATTCCAGGCCAAGCGGTGATCGCCCGGCCCTGCTGGCGCTGGCTTGGGTCTGACAGCCACAGCCAAACCACTTACGTTTTTGCCAGAGCATGGCCTGTGACAGGATGTTGCCTTTTCTCTTTGAAGCCGACAGTTTGGCTTCTTTAATGTGAGACCGGGGTGTGTTTTCCTCCAGTGGAGCCACCGCTTGCGCTGAGGCTGTTTCCTGGGCTTTTTAAAGGCCTGGGTTCCCGCTGCGTGGGCCGCGTCATCACATCCTCCCACCTCAGGCACGGGTGCAACGTTTCTGCAGCCAGGCTGCCTGTCACCCCACTGTGCGCGCCCCAGAGGCCCCGGCCCAGAGTGCTCCACACTCGGAGCCAGCCAGCTGGGACAGAGCAACAGCGCAGCGCGGGCAGCCACGGCCTGCACCGGCCCCACGGGGACCTGCTGGGTGTGGGTGTGAAGGTGGTGTGGAGCAAGCTGTGGGAACCCCGTGTCAAGCCCTCCCCAGGCCAGTGATGAGCCCAAAAGCTC